AATAGTTTCCACAGCATTATCACGTTAGCACATTATTTACTTTACGGGACCAGGCATTGATATAAGATAGAAAGGGTGAGACAACTGAGTGGCCTTCCATGTGAGAACAAAATATCTTCAGAGTCACGACTGATTTAAAAGATGCTATGACAAGATGGATTAAATTTACAGAGCTGTGCGTTGGGAAAAGCAGCTGTTACAGGTTGTGAGTTTTGGCTCAACTCAGTCTAAAAAGGCGTTTGAAAGCTCCTGTGAGAAGGAGGCTGTAAGAGAGGGGAGCATTCGAAGATTAATAATCAAACCCCAGGACAGTCCCGGGATGAAGACAGAGCTGGGGGGCTGGTTTAAAATAACCTTGGGATAATCTTCCTGAACCTCAGTTTCCTAATTTATAAAATGAAGATGATAATACCTCAGAGATTTACTCTGGAAGCAAAGTGAGCTAACAGCTGCGAAAGCAGTTTGGAAAGGAGAATGGGGTTCACGAGGTGAACGCGAGGTTGCTGTTTTCTTGGGCAAACGCCTTGACGAGTTGGAAGGAGAAAACCAAGATGGGAGTCAACTTTCACTTCTCACTTGTTTCACTGGCTAAACAGACACCTGACACCCAGCACGGGTCCTCAGGGCCGAGTGCCTCCCAGGACCCCCGCTCGCTTCCTCTNTGGGCAAACGCCTTGACGAGTTGGAAGGAGAAAACCAAGATGGGAGTCAACTTTCACTTCTCACTTGTTTCACTGGCTAAACAGACACCTGACACCCAGCACGGGTCCTCAGGGCCGAGTGCCTCCCAGGACCCCCGCTTGCTTCCTCTGCGTCAAGGGAGACCCTTCATCTTCACATATGCACAGCTCCTCTGTGTCCCTGGCTCCACTTCTGTTCCACTGGCACTTAACCTGTGTTCCTGTAGTGTCTGTCTGTCGGCATGTCACATGGACTTACCAGTGTTCTTTTTACACTGTTTCTCACATTCTCATATACAGATCTACCAAATCAGGCTAACACTCCTTAAAGTATTAACTATTACTCCTTAAAGGTAGGGAGTATGGGAAGTATTATTATTATTATTACTACTATAAAGAACCTTGCAAAACATCACGCACAACCCAGAGTCTCTCAAAAGGAGCACTCCTGGCATTTGGGACCAAACAGCTTGTGTGGGTACCTGACCCGTGCTCTGAAGGATGTTTCACAGTACAGTGGGTCTCCACCTGCGAAATGCCAGGAGCAACTCTTTCTGTCTCCAGAGCTGTGACAACCGGATTATCTCTAGACATTGTCAAATCCCCAGGTGGAGGGGTCGCAAGATTATCTCTGGTTGCGAACCATCTCTCTAGGTGGATATAAACCAATATTATGGTTACTGTAATTACTTTTATTTTTTCATATTACCTGCAATAATGCTCAGAACTGAATACTCAATGAGTATTTACTAAATAAGTGAAAAATGAGAAAAGGACTTCATGACTTATATTCATAACTGGTCTTACAGCACAGACCCTTATACGATTAGGCAATATTATACGATTCATACTTTTCCACCTGGCATGCAATACTCTTAGTACATGAACATTTTAAAGTAACTATGTGTATGTGCACTAGAAATTATATCCTCACGTGTACATAAATATCACAGCTAACAGAGGTTCTTTCCTAACACATGCCCTATGAATATACCTATGATGACCAGCATACTCTTTATCTATCAAGCATGAGATGGAAAAATTATTTTAAATTCCAGGAAAATACTGCATCAAACACCGATTATCAGACTCATTTTCAGAGAATTAATTCTACATGGAAAAAAAGAATACAGTAAAGAATTCTAAAAAGGTTGACAAATGGAGGATCTCAGATGAGTGTTATTTAGCACATTACTGTTCTCTTAAAACATAAGCTTCTTTAATATATCTTCCCAGATCTTTTCCAAAACCATCAATCTTTTCCAAGATGGAAAGATTTGTATTGTCTTTTGATATTTGAAGAACATATGTGAAGCAGCATTTCACCTAGAGCTATTAAAGAATATTGGTATTACTTTGATTTTAAAAACTGATACTTTAGGACCAACATGTTATGGAACACTGATCATTTTTGATTTTCAAATTTTCTCAGTGGATTCTTAAATCCTATATCAACAGGCTACTTTTTCCAAATGACAACTAATAAAGTGTTCTTACTAAAATGGGAGATCTGTAGCTGAAAAAGAATTAAAAGGGCTTCTTTTTCATGAACACTCACTCATCATTCTGGTAGTTTATTGCTACGTACAATCTTTCGGACGGAATTCTAATTTAGCAGTAGACCTCTACTGTGCAGTGTGCTAAAAAGAAATAAACAAACCCTTACTTTTGGCTTGGATAAATAACTTGTGACAGGTCAATGTCCCTCCCATCAAGTAAAACTGAAAAAGCCAGATGAAACACAAGAAACATCCGTTTAAAGGCCTCTGATAGCTGGTGAGACTATTAAGATGTGAGTGGCTAAGATCCAGAGAGAAGACAACTGCGGAACGGTCACATTCTGTGTGTGGATGCTTTTACCCCTTGGAACTTGCCAATTCTTGGCACAGTACTAGAAACTGAGAGTCTGGACATAGGGCCACCGCAAAGAGACAGAGAAGCCAGTCGAACTTTTTGGTAAACCCACAGAGGTAGAGAGAGAAAACTTTGAGTTTTGGTGCTGCCAGGGGAGTGGGAAATTAAGGCACCAAGGCTGTAGCAGGGAGGAGACACAGAGAAGGGCAGCCTGTAGTGTGGAAGGATTTCCCCTCAAGGCTTCTGCTGTGAAGAGCAACAAGCCAAAGAGTTAGGTAGAAAACCTCTGCAAAGCCAAGCGGAAATCTAGCAATCTTGCTGCTCTGCAAAAAAAAAAAAAAAAAAAAACAAAAAAAAAAAAAAAAAACACCAAACCTCACANGGTTTCTCAGCAAAGCTCACCAGAGAAATGCACTCTTAGAACCGACGCTGTCTTATAAACACAGAGCAAAATCAGTTCACCTCTTACTGGATCAATGTGGTCTGTTCCCACTCTACACTCCTGCCCTTCAGGAGAGGATCTGATTCCCCCACTGTCAGCCAACAGGCTTCAGATGCTTCAGGTTTAGCTTTAGCTGCAGAGAATGGCTCTAAACAGGGGCACATCCTTCCCAAGAAGGATCACATCCAATGGTGGCTTGAGGTGGGGCTATAAAGACCTGGCTGACTTGTCCCAACATGGAACAAGTCCCTGAGACCATATGAGCCCCAGAACTCCCCGAAGATTTAGCCAAACCTTCAGTGGGCCTGGATCACATTTTGGCTTCTGCCTTCACCTCATCCTGCCTTCTCTCTCCTCCTTCACACAAGTGCTGATGTCTAATAAACACCCTCTACAACAAATTCCATCTCAGTGACTGCTTCTGAAAAACCCAGCTTGTGACAGTTGCAGGCGTGGTCCCAGAAAGCAGCCAGTCTGATGGGTTATTGATCTGGATCACTCACCCCTGGCATGAGAGTGAAGTTGCCATTATTGATGGCAGGTGGAGACAGACATTCCCTGGCACCAGGGGGTGGTCCAATTGTTAAAATCGTTATCAGAAGTGAACTGGAATATTTACCTACAGAAAGGAATGCACTCAGTGGGGTGACTTACCAAGTATTTAGTAAGTAACGATAAGGACAATGGATTGGATGGCTTAGTGCTAAGTAAGCATCAATATTCTAGAAAAAGAACTCAAAACTCCAGGCAACTGTAACTCATGTTGTGGAAGCCAAAGGGCCCTCCTAGTAATTTAGAAAGAGGCTCTCACATACTTTAGCATGAGAATCTGGAAAACTGAGGATCACAAAAGATTAATAATACAGACCCATTAAAATTAAGACTTTCTATTCCATAATAGACACTAACAGAAGAAAGGAAAGGTAAGCCAGCCAGTGGGATATGCATCTCCAATGCATATATCCAACAGATAACTTCTATACAGAATGTATGCAGAGATACAAATCAGGAACAGACAGACAGACTACCCAATCAAAAAATGGGCAAAATACTTGGACAGACACTTCACAAAAAAGGATATTTAAATAACCAAAACAGCTTGAAAATTCAACCCCAATCATTAGGAAAATGCCACTTAAAACCACAACACTACCATCAGAATTGCTCAAATGAAAACGACTGGCAATACCCAGTGTTTGGGAGAATTTGGAGCGAGTGCAACTTTCATAGCTAGGAGAAATATAATGTCCATAACCTCTTTAGAAAACTGTTTTGCTAAACAAATACATAGCCATGTTCCATCAAAGACATGTACAAGAATAGTCACAGTATCACCATCACAGCAGCTGGAGACAACTCACATGTCTGTCAACAGCAGAGTAGAAAAATATGTTGTGGTATAAAACATATTATTGTTTAGTTGCTGCCATGTCTGACCTTTTGCAACCCCATGGACTGTAGCCCACCAGGCTCCTCTGTCCATGAGATTTCCTAGGCAAGCATACTGGAGTGGTTTGCCATTTCCTTCCCTCAGGGATCTTCCCGACTCAGGTATTGAACTTGCATCTCTTGCACTGGCAGGCAGGGGCAGGTGAATTTTTTTTACCACTGAGCCACCAGGGAAACCCATAAAATATATTAGAATACCATAAAAAATGAGAATGAATGAACTACAAGAAGATGAAAATACAGTGAATCTCTAAAACATAATGTTGAGCAAATGGAGTGAGACAAAAAAGGCACGCATACGGTACGATTGATACCACTGATATCAAGTTCAGAAGTTGGCAGTATTACCTGAGGTGATGGAAGTCCGTATAGAGGTCTCTTTTGGGAGGGTCAGATCACTGGGAGAGAGGTTGGGTTTCTGGGTTGCTGTTACTATTCTATTTCTTGATCTGGGTGCTAGTTACGTGAGTCTGGTCACTTTGTTAAAATGTATTGTACTGTATGCATTATTTGTGTATTCCTAGCATGAACTTCAATAAAAAACTTTAAAAAATGCAACAAAATCAGACACCTACATTGCTTTTCGTTTTCCTGCTGTGGTGAGAAGCAAATCCTGCTGACATTGCTGTTTTCACTTTGGTTTCTAAACTGTGAACATTTGAGGAAACTGGGCCAGGAGGCATTCACCATTCCCAGGACTGACTCACAGCCCTCTTTTGCAGATTCACAGAAGGATCTACAAGGCAGGAGTCCATGACTAGAAGAAAAGAAAAGGGTGGAAATTAATGTTTTTACAGACTGTTTCTCAAAATAATAATTAAACTAAAGAAAAGTTGGCCACCCATGCTACAATAATACTTTAATTTATATTTACTATAATCAACAACGTGAACTGTCAACAACAACCTTCAACCCTGTAACAAGCATTTTAGCCACCTCACTGTCATGATTCTAGAGGGAATAAGCTAGTTCCATAACAGATCATCTAACTCTCTCGTAGAAGGATTTATCCAAAATGATTTTTTTTTTTTTGAGATTTTTTTGTGTTAAGTAAACCTGTCAACCAAAGAAAAAAAACAAAAAACAAACAAAAAAAAAACCCTCTACTTACTGCCATAAGGAGTAAATTAACATGAAAATGTCCCCAAATGAAAAGGCAGGAGTAGATCACAAAATAGGTCAATCTCATTTCTTTATCAACCCTCTGAGAGGCAGACAGAGAGAAGCTGTTCCCTAACCTTCACTGTCTCCCTAGAAAAGAAAATATTACACAAACAAATGGCAACTCTGAAACCTTTTACAGTAATTTATCTTTTCAGTTCTATGCTGTCTTCTGCAAAATAGAAAACACAAACAACTGTCCACTAGCAGTAAGGTAACGATGCCTCGAGTTTGTCTTTACTCATCTGACATGCAATCAAACTGCGGGATCCGAGGCCCTATGTCTGGGGACTGGGACGCTACAATGTCAAGGTCATGCACTTGTTCTCCTGCAGATCCAGGCAGCTTTTTCTACTTTGCAGCTACGGACTGCACCTCTCACCCTAGCTGGTTATCTGACAAAGGCATCTCAAATGATTTTTAAGAAAACTAGGAAAGAAAATGTACATGTCAGTCAAAGCAAAGCACATACTTCAAAAATGTAGGGTCAATAAGAAATTTCAGAATTATACAGTATCAGATCTGTAAGAAACCTTAATCAACACCTCATTCAAATCCTTCATTTGAGGGAAGTCTAGGGAGATTCTGAGACACACAGCTTCGTAACAGAGGAAGCGGGAAGAGAATCCAGATTTTTAACATTCAACCCATGCCCTATCTCGGAGAAGGCAATGGCACCCCACTCCAGTACTCTTGCCTGGAAAATCCTATGGAAGGAGGAGCCTGGTAGGCTGCAATCCATGAGGTTGCTAGGAGTCGGACATGACTGAGCGACTTCACTTTCACTTTTCAATTTCATGCATTGGAGAAGGAAATGGCAACCCACTCCAGTGTTCTTGCCTGGAGAATCCTGGGGATGGGGGAGCCTGGTGGGCTGCCATCTATGGGGGTCACAGAGTCGGACATGACTGAAGCAACTTAGCAGCAGCAGCATGCCCTATCTACCATCCCATATCATTTATTCTCACATAAGGACCTAATAATTAGGCCTTAAGAACTCCTTGACCCAACAAACACATTTATAATTCCCCACTCATTTGTCTATAGATCACTGGAACATAAAGGGATATGCCAGCCACTGAGTTAAAACAGAGAGGATCAAGTCTATGAAAGAATCTTAAGAGCGAGGCCTTGTTATATATAAAAATGTGGGGAGAGAGTACTCAACAATTACATTTAGATACAAGCACTTTTGTCCTTCTCAGAAACTTGTCTTAAAATTGAGTAACTTTTAGAATCCTAATATTCACATAACTATGTTAACATGTATCCAAATTTGTTAGTGAAGATGTGAGAATAAGTTTTACATTTGAAAGAATTAGCTTCAGACATAAAATATGAATTAGTCCAAGCAAGTATCTCAGTGGAAAGGAGACATCTGATTGCCATTCAGGAAATAAATTATTCACAGAACTGAAAATTCTGCCTAAATAACATTTTTGAAAAGATGTTCTTTCCTAGATCTTATTCTAGAGATCTTACATATTTTCTCAAATAAAACCAAGAAATGTGGTTGAGGAATACGGGGAACACAGAATTCCTATGCAATTACTTCTACTTTGCTAGGCTCTAAGTGCTACATACACATTAACTCATTTCTCACTACAGTACTATACCAGCGATACCATTACTGTCATCTCTACTGTATGAAAAAAGCAACGTAAGCACAGAAAATATATGAGATTCTTCCAAGATCACTGAGTTAGTGAGTGTCCCAGCGAGCATTCAAACCCAGGCCAACTAATTCAAGAACTATTAACTACTCTATTACACATGAGTCCTTGCTTTTGTCCCAAAAGCATAACTCAAGGTTAATTCAAAACCTGGTATGTACTTTCCCAGTGAACCAACCATGTACACAGTGGGTGGGTTCTCCCTTCACTCTACAAAGTTCTACTCAACCTCCAACCATCAGGATTTGCCAAGGGGCTAAGAAACACTAGGAAAGGGTGAAGGCGTTTCTCTTTCTTTCCCAGGCGCGAGAGCAGAGCTGCTCAAGCTCGGCTTGGTTTCCACACTCTTCCTTTGCTTCCTAGGCCCTGACCCATGTCCCAGTGTCCTGACACCATCCTGCCCACCCCACTGCAGCGCCCCACCTGGAAAGCCACCTCCACCAGCGCATCATTGTTTTAGTCGCTTAGTCATGTCCGACTCTTCGGGACCCCAAGGACTGTAGCCCACCAGGCTCCTCTGTCCATGGGATTCTACAGGCAAGAAAACGGGAGTGGGTTGCCATTTTCTCCTCCAGGGGACCTTCCCAACTCAGGGATCAAAGTTGTGTCTCCAGCTTGGCGGGAGGGTTCTTTACCACCACCTGGGAAGCTATACTTGCTGCTAAACATTTTTCCCCTTCCTACCATCAAAGCTACATTCCCCAAGTGAGCTGATTGAAATGAGACTTTCAAAGAAGAAAAGAGATGAAAATAACACAGAGTAGTATATAATAATAGATGGACACTTCACCCTTCAGAGGTTTTTGGCATCATTAGAAGATTGCTTGCTGGACCAAAGGAATCTCTGATGGAATTCCAGGTGCCACTTACAGAAGGAAAAGTCATCCCACATCGTCAGGTGGAGAAGATTCACTGCGAGGCTGAGCAGCACTTGGAGCCCAGCTCTCCCAGCTGTTTCTTGGACCTTTCCTCACTTCCGAGCCCACATAGTCTTTGATCGCTCCACACCTTCGCTCAGAACCTTCTATGGTAAGGGCGATGAAGGTTCACACAGGGGTCCAGCAGACCATTTTCACTCTAAAGCTGAGTCTTCAACTCAGAAGCTCACTTCTTGTCACTGACCCTCAGCTGAGTTACTTTCTGCAAGAAAGCATAAGCCACCCCTCTGAACTCCTCATGCTGGCTGCTGGCTGCTCCTCACTGCCTGGTCCTGCCAATAGTTCAGTCACACAAGACTCAGTTTCATCATGTGAAAAGTCAGAGGTTTGGAAGAGCTGATTTTTCACAGTCCTTTTACCACTGACATTCTGTGAATCAAAATTCACTCTTTAACACAATGCTTCTCAGAGGAGTGGTGATAATCCCACCAGCTTTGTTAAATTTCAAAAAGTAACAGATTTTTTTTTTTATCTCGAGACTTGACCTGGGAATATATAGAGACATTAAAATAGCATTAGGCCTTCCATTCTAAAAATAGGGCTTAAGAAAAATGTCTAGAGTGCTTCCAAATAGCTCTCTTAAGAGGTGTAACCAGCCGAGACCCATAGGCTTTAAATTGCCAGATGAGGACATGTGAAATAGTGATGGGGTATTAATAACAAGCAGCCCTTTCAAACACTGAGCAAAATGAGGAGCCATTTGTTCTTGCTTTGCATGAAATTCAAGTGCCTACAAGGGGCTGAAGCATTTTGCTTTTCATCACATGGAACAGTGTGTTGAGACAGACCACACTATTTTGGAATATAAGTGCTGATATCCAAGCAACAAGCAGACTGACGTCTGAAAACAATGCTCGTAACAGGGAAGGAGTCAGATTTGGCTATCAGGACACTATTTTAGAAAAGGTGATTGTTTTAAATGGACATTTGAAGGGCATTTGGTGGTGTGCAAAATCCCCTTAAAACATTTCAACTTAAAACATTTCAACATTTAAAACATTTCCACTAAAGCTTAAGCAGAAAATTCTTACCTCTGTAATTTTGTTGAAACAAATACATACAAATATAAATACTTCTACTATATACTAATAATGAGGTTTCTAGGGGATTTTCATTAGGAATGCTACTCAAATTATCTGTTAATACAAAAAAATTATAGATTTTTTAAAATAATTTTTTATCATTTTAAGCAAATTTATCAAATAAATTTCCTGTTTACAAATATATATATATATTTTTCTTTATTGTACTCTTTGACCAACATCTCCCCATCTCCCCACCCACAAATTTTCAGAATTTTATCTGCAAAAATAGCTCTGATAAAGACATAAAGTTAAAATTATTGAATAAGCTATAGCCACATTGTAGGCTTATATAATAGCTAAAGGATTTTTAGGTTTTATAAATCACTTTTTTCTAACTTTTTAGTTTTTTTTAAAAATATGGCTCATGTACAATATTATATAGGTTGCAGGTGCACAATATAGAGATTCACAACTTTTAAAGGTTATACTTGATTTATGGGCTTCCCGGGTGGCTCAGATGGTAAAGAATCTGCCTGCAATGCGGGAGGCCTGGGTGCAGTCCCTGGGTTGGGAAGACCCTCTGGAGGAGGGCGCTCACTATTCTTCCCTGGAGAATCCCCATGGACAGGGCAGCCGGGCGGGCTCCTGTCCATGGGGTCACAAAGAGTTGGACACAACTGAGCAACTAAGCACATGGCACTTGATTTACGGCTATAAAACCTTTGCATATTCTCCATGTTGTACAATACAGTCCTGTAGCTAATTTTATCTAATATTTAACTTTTTACTTCAAACTACTTTTAGAGACTTACAGAAAAGTTTTAAAAATAATACACAAAGTTTCCATGTAGCCTTTATCCAGGCTCCCCCAAAGCAAACACCTTACACAACTACAGTACTATTATCAGAACCAAGAAATTAACACCTACATTATCTTTACCTAAAGTAAAGACCCGATTA